TCTTTTTTGAATTGTTTTTATTTTCTACTGTTTTTTCATAAATATCCCTCATTTCTATGGCCACATTATACTATTAATTATAAAATAATTTCTGATAAACAATTGCATTGTTATGTCTTTTACACATAGTCATTAAATAACTAGGTCTCTCCAATTGTCTTCTACATCAGTATAATCTAAAATAACTCCTCCTTGACCACTTGAATATAAACATTAGTCTCTGCAAATTAATATAGTTGTGTTAATTTAAGAAGTAAATGCATATAGTTGAGCAACAGTTTCCAGTATCTCAAGAGAAGATACAGTGGTTTTGACTTTTTGTGTGTGGCCTCTAATGGGAAAACCAATGACTTTTTTTAACTGAGTCCTTGACCTTTTGTCCTTGGAGTCAGGCCAAAAAATCATCCTAGATAATCGTGCCCTGAAGATGATCAAATACTGCAGTATTACACATGCCCATTTCATGAGGTGCTCTGAGATCACCAGGCTGGGAGAGAAGGTGGACACTCTGCACCATATATTCTTTACTCCTACATCTATTGTTTTTTAGATTAAATTTCTTGAGGAAGTTTCCATTTGATCAGGTTCTGAAAAAAGAATTTTAATATGATTCAGTTTAACTCACTAAAATATAAATGCAATAATCATAAAGTTAAGTTATATAAAGAAAAACAAATATATCTCAGATTCAACTTCTTATATTTTACTTCTCAGAGTACTTTGAGGTTGACTGATTTGTACCCAGTTAACCTCGGAAGAAATTTTATTTTTCAGCAACTTTATCTCACAGTAAGTATCATACTTTATATAGAAGTAGATAAGATCAAGTCAAGGAAATATTTCATCAGTAAATATTTCAGAATATTTCTTCATCAGTAAAACATATTCACATAGCATTTATTCCTTATGATAAGCAATGGTAAAAGCTATTAATCAAGAATGTAGAGTTGTTGGCATCAAAATCTCCAAAAAATGTACATATTTTGGAAATGTAATATTTTGAAGCAATGCTATTTTAATGGTCAACTTAGGAAAAGGAGTGGTGCACATTGGGCTTTCAGTGGGAGAACTGTGGAAAAGCAGCCTGTCATTAAACATTCCAGTGCTTAATATTTCATTTTACCCTCACAACAGCTGTAATATCTTCAGGAGTAGTAACATGTGGCCTATCGTCTTCATGCACCTCCCTAAATCCCCTACAGTAAAATTTACTGTTGTTAACATCAAATGGCCCTGGACATGGTGGCCCACATTTGTAATTGCAGCACTCCAGCAGCCAGAGACTGGAGGAGCACTGTGAGTTCCAGTCCAGCCTAAGCTAGAAAAGTGAGTTCTCAGGTAGCCTGAACAGCACAGTGAAAACTTGTTTCAAAAAAATCAAACCATACAAAGAAAAAAAAAATCAGGCACGTTGGGAACTAAAGGGCAGAACAAAGCTTTGTACCTCTTTATTAAATATACATGATTACATATCCTTTCTCAGATGTGAGTTGACAAGTAAAAACTGAATCTATTATAATTGTGCTCTCTCCTGTGAAAACAAGTTAATGGAGTCACTTTCTTAATGTGACTTTGTTCTGATTTCACATAAGTGAAGACTTGTGCCCACTTTCTGATCCAAAACACATGCCTAATACTAAATATGGTAAGATGTTTTCATATGTATTAATAAAGGAAAAGCATTTGAAATAATATCAAGTTCATTCTAAAGGCATAGTTGAAATTTACTAGAAATAAATTTCAATTAATAACACATCTCTAAGTGACAAATTTGTTTGCTCCTATTTATCAAAATTTTATATATTCTTAGAATGTTGAAGTAGTTATAGTAATACTGGACCATTTGTACAAATGTCATAACATTGCAGTCATGGAAGCTAAATATCAGCTTTAATTTTCGAACAATAAATGCAAAGAAACACCATGCATCATAGTGTGTCTGATGTCATCTTTATGGGCTTGGTAGATTCTGAAGAGACACAGCTGGTTCAACCTTTATGTCTCAGTATAAATTAGAATACTGATGAATAGCATTTTATTTGAACAAGTTCATAGCAAAATAATACCTACAAGAATCTACTTTATCCTCTGCAACATGCCGTCTCCTGAAATTTTCAGAAGTGGGCACATTTCATTAGGATTTTGTGATACACATTTGTTCAGGAATGAATGCAAAACTCATTGATAACATTTTCTCAGATTCAAACTGTGCATATTTTTATTCACTCTTTGGTTTCTCATTTAAGATGAGTACTGGTGAATAGAACCTTTCAGATTTTCTATTGCTTTAATTTTTCCTTATTTTTTTAAATGCTTTTGAATTGACTACACAAAAAGCAAGTATTTTTTTACTAAATTAATTGCAAAAATTTGCATTAGATTCAGGGTGGAGTGTGTCTTTTGATTCGATTTTCTTTTACAAAATACAGACAAAATTAAACCCACTGAAACAGTAAACTGCATGACACAACATGGATCCTACAGATGTAGCAGGTGACACAGGCAAACCCAAATGGGTTCTGCTCCATTTCACTGATTCCTTAAAATATCTGTTTATCAGCTGGGAAAACTTGGTTTGCTTAATGAATAAAAGAACATCATAGAATCCATACTGCATATAGGTACTGGTCAATAAAATAATTTGCCATAGTCATGGAAGATTATGATATTTCAGTTCTTAAAATAGGATGACATTGTATACACAGTATTAAAATGACTAGGTAAGTCTGGAATTTTGAGTCCAATTAAGCTGTATTGGTGCAAAGTCAAATACTTGGAAGAATTTTTATGTAAAGAAATTATTAACAAGAATTGAGTCACTTATTTTTTCTTTAAATTTTATTATTTTCATTGTTTTCTAGTGACTTTGACCTACTTATAAAAGTCATCATACTTCGAAGTATGTAATACTTCATGATGAATGTTATCTTCCATCCTTTAGATTGTTCCTGATAAATATATCTCCTGAAATATTTTCTCCAGTAGCTTAGTCAAAAAATCCTTACAGTCACTTCAATGTAAATGTTATTCCCAGTAAATCTATGTATTATGTGTCTCAGTGTAATGGAAACAAATTAATTTCTCCTACAGTTTTAAAATTTACAAAAAAATGTAAGTAGTTAGGTATCTCCCAAGAACACAAAACTCTGTTTTAAGTTTGTACTGAAACTTTTGTCCGTGGAATCAGACAAAGCAGCATTCCCTGGAAGCGACAACCGGAGGATGACTAAATGTTGCATACTGAATGCTCATTATATTAGGCATCCAGGAATTATTAGCCACAGAGTAAAACCATGTATGGTCCTGTCTATATACACGGTTTCACCCTTAGGAGTCTTTTCTGATAAAAAAATTTTGTAAAGTTTCCATTTGATCAAGAACTGAACTGAGTATAATTTACCACACAATGAAATAGTTAATGCAGAAAATCATGAAAAAGAAATACATTGAGAAGCACAAATATAACAGAGATATATTCTGCTGCTTATTTGTGTTTAGTATTTCATTTCAGAGAAGAATTAAAGCTTGAGGTTCTAGAAAGAAAACACTGGAAAATTTTTCACAGTATGTATCATTCTTAAAATTGGAAGAGAATTTGATCATATAAAATGGAAACTTTCTCAGTAAAATTGAAATACATATATCATTCAGGCCTTACTATGAATAATGTTAATATTTGTGAAAGAGGTCTGGGGATATAGCTCAAATGCCTTCCTGGTGTGTATGAGATTGTAAGTTTGATTCCTGTAGAAAAAGTAATCATAGATGCACACATATGTGTGTGTGTGTGTGTGTATTTGTGACATTATAATATACAATCAGTAGAATCAAAGTCGACAGCAAAAAAAAAGCAAACAAAACAAAATCGTCAGGAAATGTACACAATTTTAAAATGACTTTAATTTTCACTGATAAGTTTGGAGAGAAGGTAATTAGCAGAGTGGATGTCCCACGCTGTCTCTTGTCTCACACAAATTGGCAAAACCTTTCTTTTGTTGGGAAGAAAGAATTTTATTCCCAGTTACAGCACAGGAGATGGAGGTGGGACTCTCCCTATCTCAGCCCTGCATTTTCCTGGTCTCAGCTGCACAGGGATTTTTACCTCCAGACCCTTCCCTGCTTTCTTTCCCCTTGGTCCACATTAAACCAGACCCTGACCTCCAGCCTGCTCTGGGGATTCCATTCAGAGAGATGGGGTAACTTCCAGGGAGAGTACCGCTTCTCTGCATAGTCACCTGAGTGGAAGAAAAGACCTGATGGATTGTGCCACTATCAGTAGGAAGATGTGAGAAATAGCCTGTCTTTAACACAGCCGTCCTGGGCACAATTCATTCCAAATTAAATTTCAGTTTCAATATTTTTAAGAAAAATAATATGTAGATGTAATTTAATATGCCTTACTTAAATGCTCAGTAGTGAATTAAATGGGTAATTATTGTCAAAGAGCTTTGAAAAGTACAGAACAGTTAACAACACATGAAAACAGATTTTAAACTACTTTATTACAGATACTTTATAAGGTTTGCTAAAAAAAAACTTTAAAAACTTATAATCAGTAGTAAAGATCTCTAAGGCGCATTACCTGCAGCCAAAATATTTCAGTAGCATCATACTGTCAACATGGAATTTCTCATATTTCAGATGTTCCTCTCTGTGCTCTTGTTCTGACATAATTTACATAGACATGTAATAGTGTCTAGAGTAAGTTATCTTCATATGGATTGTATATGTTGACTAATGAAAGCATTCACAGTTTTACTATTTTCATTCTTATCCAGGCTGTAATGCCTTCTAAATATGAACAAAATATCTGAAATTATATACATTTTGTACAGGTTTATTAAATTTTTTCACATCTACTCAATAAAAAGCATATAATTTCAGGACACAGCAAACTATATTATTTAAAAGTTTTGTCTTTCACACACTCTAATAGTTTTGAAGTCACTCAGGGTAATTATCAGATGAAATCACTCTCCAGATAATTGCAGCAGAATATCATGATGAGGTGGAACTCCACTAGTGTGCCTGACTTCGTCCTCCTGGGGCTGACAGATTCTGAAGAGACACAGCTGGTCCTTTTCCTGCTTTTCCTCATGATCTACCTGGTCACTGTGCTGGGGAATGGAGGGATGATACTGACCATTCGCCTGGATCCCCAGATGCACACCCCCATGTACTTTTTTCTCACTCATCTGTCATTTCTCGACCTCAGCTACTCAAGTGTCATCACCCCTAAAACCTTACAGAACTTACTGACTTCCTCCAAGAGCATCTCATTCCTGGGCTGCTTCACACAGATGTACTATTTTGTTCTCTTTGGTGGCACTGAATGCTTTCTCCTGTCCTCCATGGCCTATGACCGCTATGTGGCTATCTGCAGCCCTCTGTACTATCCAGTCATTATGTCTACAAGACTCTGCTACGCCCTGCTTGCTGGCTCTTATACATTTGGCTTTGTGGATTCCACTGTGAATGCAGTTTGCATGAGCAGACTGCATTTTTGCAACTATAATGTCATCCATCACTTCTTCTGTGATACATCTCCTGTCTTAGCCCTTTCTTGCAATGATATACATGACCTTGAAATAACAATATTCATTTTTGGTGGTTCCACACTAGTTCTGTCTCTCATCTCTGTGTGTGGATCCTATGTGTTCATTCTCTCCACTATCCTCAAAATTAATTCCTCTGCAGGAAAACAAAAAGCCTTCTCTACCTGTGCCTCTCATCTCCTGGGAGTCACCATCTTTTACAGCACTATGATATTTACTCATTTAAAACCGAAGGAGTCCTACTCTTTGGGAAAGGATCAGGTTGCTTCTGTGTTTTACACTATTGTGATCCCCATGCTGAATCCACTCATCTACAGTCTCAGAAATAAGGAGGTGAAAAATGCTGTTCTTAGAGTCCTGCAGAGGAGACAGAGCTCCAGAAAACTAATATAACACTAACGTTACATATTTATACTTGCTTTCATATTTTTTGTTTCATGAAAATTCTTAGATCACTTTCTTAAAGCAAGTCTTTACATGTGAATATGTGTGTGAGGTTATATATGTGCTTTTCCTGTATTTTACATGACAATTTTAATTGTTTCCATCTACCTAGGGAAAATGCTATCATATTCTTACATGCTGCTTACTGTCTCCAGTATAAGTTTTATTCATGCCATTGTGAAGACTTCTAGATCAATCTATCAGGAATGCCTCTGTTGATTAATATTTTTAAGTCACATTCCTGTGTGCATGATAGTGACCTTCCATGGAAAACTTTAATTAAATTTAACCTTATCTATTTCAGGATTCTGTGTTCTTCTCATTTACAGAGGGCTAGCATTAGGCATATAGGAATATATAGCTGAAATTCCTGCACCATTAACATGGCTATTTCTTTCTCCATCTTTTGCTCCAATAGAGACATTTCATGGGTTCCTCTTGACTCTCTTGGAAGTGTCTTGTCATTGGAATTTACTTTTAGGTTGAATGATGAACTCAGACCTGAATAAAACTTAAAAAATCTAATGTGATTTCCTATATTAACAATATTTTGAAACACAAGGTGGATTAAGCGTCACTGTAGCTTTTTACATGCTCTGGGGAAATGGAAATTATATAATCTTTAAATTATATCCTTTACTATGACTTAATAACTCTCTCTTTTAGATAACTTTGCACTAAACACTGCAGCAGCTTCTGGTGCACTTTTAAAATGTGAGGGCATCACCACATCAGTGCAATTGAAGCTGATCCCATCCAGTCTGCTCTTAGTATGCTGCACTGTTCATCTGTCCTACCTTGCTTCCTTCTTCCTTTCAGGTTTTCTTTCTTTGTATGACTTTACCTTATGAATATTAAGCACCAAATATATTATTCCACATCTATAGGAATGGAATGAGTCAACAAATCCAGAGAAATAATTTCTTCAAGAACTTTTTGTATGTTGTGATTTCTACCATTGGCTTAAAGAAGATCAGTAACATTTTCTAAAATTTTGTGGTACTTGAATAATATAGTTGACAGTGAAAAATAATACTTATTGTGAATAGCTTGCTTAATAATAGGACTTCTGTGGCTCCACAATTGATGATAAAATTCATACATCCTTGGGAAAAGATTGAGCAAAATACCTATATTTAAAGTTTTGGACAGTTTTCTCATATATAATAAAAAAGAATAAAACATTTTATTAGAGATGTTATCACAGAAATTACATGCATTAAGACATGTAAAATGTTTACACTATTCCACACTACCTAATAAGCTGCATATAAGTGTACATTATTGCCCATGTAAGGACAGAAGTTTCTTCAGCCAGTGAAAGTAAATCTGTCAAGTAGTGATTAACTAGTATGAGCAAGAATATATATTAAAGAAATTTTTATATGGTGGACCTTAAAATTGCCATACCACAGGCAGGCAACATATTGAATCTAGTCTCAAATACTTAAAACAAATTTCATGCATACATGCCTTTGGTACACAATAATTACATTCATATTGGCAAACTGGTACATGCACATTTCACTTGATCATTTTTAATGCTTTTCTCTTCTTGGGCTGTGTCATACTTTTATCCTTGAGATCCTCCTTCCCTTCAATAAAAACTTTGGCTCTATTTTTGACTTTTCCTATTTTTTTCATTAAATTATACACATGTTGTGCTACTCACATAATGAAAAACATGCATTCCAGGATATTTGCACAAACCAACAAATACACATCTCTTTGAGGAGAGAGAGGAACCATAAGAAGTCACTGTATTACAACTGGCTGAATTAGCAAGCAGTTAAAACTCAGAGCCACCAGTAGATAGAAAATAAAACCAAGTTTCAGAAGGAGTCTCCACAGGCTCCTATGAAATGTTGCACAGGGTGGGAAGGGAAATTACCCTGCTCTCTCAGGGGGAGATACTAGAGTGCAATTGTGAAGTCAGACAAAGCCTATCAAAAGGAATGTGCAAGTAGGCAAATGTGCTGGGTTAGACGCTTGGGATTGGAAATCAAGACAAAGACAGGTTAGGAGGCCATGTGAAGGAAGAGTACCTAATCCTAATACATGAAGTCCAGAAGCAAAGGCTTGCAGTTGTCCGTCTTGTTCCAGAAGCCCTGACTGCTCTTCAAGGTCAGTTATTTCTCTCTGCTTTTATTTTCTTGCTTCTCACAAATGAAGCATAGTCCTTTTCAAAACTCCAACCTCTCTAATTTGTAATTGGTGCTGAGTTTTCAGTCTGGCTAGCTGTTCACCCTGAATGAGATGCTCCAATGTTGGAATCATGCTTTTTCTTATAAAATTTTTCCCTATGAAAAAACATTTTTCTTCAATTACTCTTAGTGCTTTGACCCTTGGAATCATGCTGGATGTTCATCCTTGGGTACTGGGCCCAGAGGAGGACCAAATGCAGCACCACCCTGAGTGCCCAGCCCATCAGGCACCCTGGAGACAGCAGGCTGGGCAGCAAGGACACACTGCTCTGGATAGATTCACAATTGCTCACTGAAATAATATTCATAGAGGAATCCCTGTAAAGCATTCATTTGACCAAGATTTGAAAGGATGATTTAATTTATGTCAGAATTAACAAAGTATAATGAACAAAATTAAAAATGATGCAAATCACAGAAATAAAACTGACAAGGAAAACAAATATCAAAGAGTGTCAAGTTCCCTATTGATCAGATTTCTTTCAGAAAAAAATGTCTAGTTATCTAATTTTTAGACAGATAAAATTGGAATAAAGTATTTTTCATGAACTTTGGCTAACAGTAAATGCCATTCTTCAATTGGAGTGTTTAGAAAAGATAAAATAAAGTAGGGATTTTATTAGAAGATTACATATGTACATACATTTGAAACATATCAAAGTAATAGTAATATATTTGAATCAAGAAAATAGAAATCATAGAATTGCAATCAGCTCTTCAAAATACAACTTTGAAGCTTAGAGTTGTTTTTCTCTTAGATCAGTGACCTCCTGAGTCTAAGGGCATAAATTGCATATCACAAGAATTTAGAGCACAGGCATAGCCATCAGTGTGCAGAGGAGGAGCTGGGCGGATCTGGAGTGCCTGCATCAGCCCCTTCCTTTGTCTGGAGGAATGTGAATATCTCTGCAAGCAGGGAGGGATCGCAGGTTCCTGAGGCACCTCGGCCTGTGGTGAGTGCTCAGCACACTCTGCCCAAATCTCAGACTGTCCCGGACCCCCCAGGCTTCCGGATGCAGTGAGGTGGAGCAGCGGGTTAGAGGCCACTACATCCGCCTCCCCATCCTGGCTGCACTTGGAGGTCTGCTGAGCTTCCAACGGGTGGGCGGGCCCACACTATCCCCCGAGCCCAGCCAGACTGTTTTGCTGCCGTGCCTATCCATCAGTGTGCAGAGGAGGAGCTGGGTGGATCTGGGGTGCCTGCATCCACCTCTCCGTGTGTCAGGAGGTCTGTGGATATTTCCGCCCAGACTGTTTGGGTCCCGCCAGGCTTCCAGGTGCAGTGAAGGGGAGAGGTGGGTTTGAGGCCTCTACATCCGCCTCCCCATCCCGGTTGCACTTGGAGAACTGCTGAGATCCCCACAGGTGGGCGGGCCCACACTATCCTCCCCCCCCCCAGCCCAGCCTGTTTTGCTGCCACGCCTAGCCATCGGTGTGCAGAGGAGGAGCTGGGCAGATCTGGGGTGCCTGTATCGGCCTCTCTGTGTGTCTGGAGGACTGTGGATATCTCTGCAAGCAGGGAGGGATCACAGGCTCCTGAGGCACCGTGGCCTGTGGTGAGTACCCTAACCTGGCTGCGAATGAAGAGCTGTGGAGCTTCCAAGGGGCAGGTGGGCGCACAGTGTCCCTGAGGCCCAGCTTCTCGGGAACTGTGGAGTTCTGAGCAGGCAGAGGAGGGCCATTGGTTCTGCAGGCCCAATGGCTTGGGGTAGCGTGGTGCCAGAGTCTCAGTAGCTCCAAACATAGAAGGGGATTTTCAACAGATCCTGAGGAAGCTTTCAAATAACACTTGAAACACAGAAATATAGGAAAATGACAAAACGAAAGACCAAATTACAACCTCAAACCTCCAGCCCATCTCAAGAAACCCTAGGAGGAATGTATTTAGAAGAAAATATATCCCATCCATCTCATATATCAGACACAATAGCTACTGAAACTAACAAGCAACTCCAGGAAGCTTTAAAGAAATTCAAACTCAAAATAATCTCACAGATAAAAGAAGAAATGATAAAAGAAATGAAAGAGATTCTAAATATATCTAAAGAAAACACAGATAAAAAATTGGAGGAACTAAACAAAAAGATAGAATCCCTAGACGAGCAATATAAGAAACAAACAGAATACATAATGCAGATGCACAGAGATATACAGGAAATAAAAAACTCCACTGAAAGTTGTAAAAACCGCCTTAATGAAAGTGAAGATAGAATTTCAGACCTTGAAGACAGGATTGCAGCTAGTGAACAGGAAAGGAAAGATCTTTTAAAAATAACAAGGAATCAGGAAACAACAATTCAACAACTGCAAGACGATGCAAAGAAGAATAACATAAGAATGATAGGGATTAATGAAAAAGAAGGAGACAACATAAAGGATATCAAGAGGATATTTAGAGAATTAATAGCTGAAAATTTCCCAAGCATGAGATCAGAAACTGACATCAGGATCAGTGAAGCATATAGAACTCCAAATAGTCATAACCAAAATAACACTACAACCAGACATATAATAATCAGCATCCCAGAAATCCAACACAAGAATAGATTATTAAAAGCTGTCAGAGAGAAAAGACAGATCACTTATAAAGGAAAACCTATCAGAATCACAGCAGACTTCTCATCACAAACAATAAAGTCAAGAAGAGCATGGAGGGAAGTATTCCACATCCTAAAGCAAAATGATTTCCAACCAAGACTGATATATCCTGCAAAACTATCATTCAAAATAGATGGTGAAATACAA